TTGTGTGTATTTATTTGTGCGTCCTGGGGCCCCTTCAGTAGAGGCCCCACGACACGTCCTGGCGGGCCCCGGAAGCTCCCCCCCCGCGGCAGAGCGTGTGAGAGGGCCGCTGCAGAGGATCGACCGCCTAAGCCCCCAGGAGGGCTCCGAGGAGGGGTCCATGCAAGGAGGCTCCCCGAAGGCCCGTGGGGGCCCAAAGACATGCTCCAAGGGGAGGAGGAGGAGGAGGAGGAGGAGGAGGAGGAGGAGGCCTAAGAAGCTCCAGACGGCCATTTCAGATGCCCTACCAAGAAGGCGCCAAGAGGGCCCCAGGAGGGCTCCGAGAAGGCCCTGGGGGCCCGAAGGAATGTCCTGGCGGGCTCAAGGATACCCAGGAGCCCCCCCCAGCGGTAGAGCATCTGGAGCGGCCACTTCCGATGCTCGATTGCGAGGCCTCGAAGAGGCCACCAGGACGGCCCCAAGAGAGCTCCAGAGGGGACCCAGGAAGGCTCCCAGAAGGCCGGGGGGCCCCAAGACATGCCCCAAGGTATTCAAGAGGCCCCAGAAACGCCCCTTGCGGCACAGCATCTGAAAACAGCCGCTTCGGATGCTCAGTTGGGAGGGCTCCAAGAGGGCGGGACGGTTTCAGATACTTTACCGGGAGGGCCTCAAAAGGGCGCCATGAGTGCCCCACGAGGGCCTGTGAGAACCTAAGAGGGCCTTCATCCCCAGCAAGCTGGGGTCGGTGGATGACGGGAAGCGCCTTCTCGGAACGAGAAGGTGATGGAAGTTTTCTAGCATGTCTAAGTGAGGTATGAATAAATAACAAACTCGCGAGGGACAACTGACTCCCGATTGTAAATGTTGTTACGTTGGCGGATTCCGCTCAAAATGGCCGTTTCGCTTGGGACATCCTCGAAAAAGTGAGATGTGGAAGCCGTGTAGTTGAGACGTCGTTTGTTGAACATGAGGCTCTCGCTCGATACATCCTCCGAAAACAAGCTACTGAGCTCGCTCCCGAAATTGAGCGAACCGTTGAAATTGTTTTTCGCTTGAGACATCCTCGAAAAAGTTAGATGTGGGAGCTGTTTGATTAAGACGAGTTTCGTTAAAAATGGGGCTCTCGCTAGAGCCATCCTCGGACACAAAAAAGGTCCTGTCTCGTTTCGCCTGGGACATCCTCGAAAAAGTGAGATGTTGAAGCCGTATAGTTGAGGCGTAGTTTGTTAAAAAAATGGGGCTCCCGCTCGGGACAGACTGTCTCCTCCGTCTCTGAGACCTCATCCGTCTCTGAGGTCTCCGTCTCTGAGGTCTCCTCCGTCTCTCCTCCGTCTCCTCCGCCATCCGCCTCCTTCTCCTCGTCCCCCCTTTTACTCCTACTCCTCCTCCTCCACAGCAACCACAGGCAACCACTAAGCTCGGAGAAGTAACCAGAACACCGCAAGAAACCAGTAAGCTGTGAGAAGCTCGGACAAGTAACCAGAACAACCAAAAGCAACCACTAATATTGGTGAAGCAGCCACTAGGTTCGGAGAAGCATCCACAGACAACCACTTAGTTCGGAGAAGCTCGCAGAAGTAACCAAATCAATTGCAGGCAACCACTTAGTTCTGAGAAGCTCGGAGAAGTCACCAGAGCAAGCACAGACAAGAACTCAGCTCGGAGAAGCAACCGCTAAGCTTGGACAAGCAACCGCAGGCAACCACCAAGTTCTGAGAAGCTCGGAGAAGTAACCAGAGCAACCACAGGCAACTACTAAGCTGGGAGAGGCAACCACTAACCTTGGAGAAGCAACCACAGGCAACCACTAAGCTCGAAGAGGCTCCGAGAAGTAACGAGTCACCAGAGCAACCGCTGGCAACCACTAAGCTCGGAGTAGGAGAAGGATGAGGAGGAGGCAGGGCCAGCGCGGCAGACCAGCACGGCAGACGAGCGCGGCACGCCAGCGCGGAGATCTTTGGTGTGCTCCATCAGACGTTATCCGACAAGCCCTGTGGACAAAGCGGCGCTTCCCGTTCTTGTCGGGATAGGGTCCTCCTCCTGAACTCCAGGCCGCCCAAGTGAGATCGGAGCAGACGGGGTCGGAGGATGGCGCCGCATCCCCGACGCATCGGCGGTGCGGCGCGGTCTGCCGAGCCGACATCCGAGCACCTGTCTCCTTGCTTGCTCCTCTCACCCCTCCAGCCCTGGGAGGTCCACGCTCTGAGGGAGCGGCTCGCCGGCATGCTCCTCTTCGTCCGTGCCCCGGCCTGGGCGGTCGCTTGGCCAGGGTGTTCCCCACCTGCAGGGCGGATGCGCAGACCGCCACTTACGGCCACCCAGGTGCAAACGATTTGATGATGTTGCGCATGCTGTCAGTCTGTTCTATACTTGCTCACCCAATCGGCACTCTATGGACCCCAAAGTTTCGTGTCCTCGTCCGTGCCCTCGGGCGCCGCGCCGGGCCACACCCAGGCCCCCGACTGCGCGGGCAGCGACGCCGGCGTCCCCGCAGAGTGTGCCGCGAGCAGGGCCGCGGGAGGCGCAGCCAGGGAGGAGGAGAGGAGAAAGCGACGGAGGAGCAGGAGGAGGAGGAGGAGCAGGAAGGTGGACATGTGGGGACATGATGCGGGGAAGGAGGAGGAGTAGCAGGAGGAGGAGGAGGAAGAGGAGGAGGAGGACGAGGACGAGGAGGAGGAGGACGAGGAGGACGAGGAAGAGGAGGAGGACGAGGAGGAGGAGGAGGAAGAGGAGGAGGAGGAGGAGGAGAGGAGCAGGAGAGGAGTAGGAGGAAGAAGAGGAGGAGGTGGAGGAGGAGAGGGATGGGAGAGGTGGCGAAAAAAATAATAAGGGGGAGAGGCAGCTGGAGGAGAGGAAGGCGAAGGAGTACAAAGGATAAGCAGGATGACGCGGCGGTGTACGAGGGAGAGATGGAGCAGCATGCGAAGGCAGGGGAAGAAGGAGGACCCTGTGGGAGGGGGGGGGGGGGGGGCAAAGGAGGCGGGGGAGGACGAGCAGAAGAAGCAGGAGACTAAATCGCAGGGGGGGAGGTGGCGGAAGTCGAGCGAGGAGGAGAATGAGGTGGACGAGGAGGATAACGAGGGGGAAGAGGAGGAGGGGGAGGACGACGACGAGGAGGAGAAGGAGGAGGAGGAGGAGGAAGAAAAAGAGGGTGAGGAGCAGGAGAAGGAGGAGGAGGAGGAGGCAGAAAAGTAGGAGGATGAGTAGGAGAGGAGAGGAAAAGCACGCCGACGGCCACGACGACGAGGCTAGAGGTCTTCGGTCCCCGCAGTTCTTTGGAGGTCGTCGCGAAGGTCTCCGAAGTCCCCTGTGGCCTCTTGGAGGCCTCTGAAAGTCCCCGCTTCGGTACGATCGAAACGGGCACGCATGAACGAAGAGGATGGTTACCAAGACCGACGGCAGCTCCTGCTCATCATTGACAGGAGTCGGGGTCGATGCCACCGTGGGCACTGTTCCGCCACATATAATTTGGACATACATGCATATACATACATCCCTATTCAAATAAACCCGTAGGAAGCCTGGCGGGTTTGGGGGGACCCCCAGTTCCCCGAGCGCCCCGGGGGGCCAGAAACGGCACCACAGGGTCCTCGGAGGGCCCCGAAACGGCACCGGAGCTCCCCAGAAGAGCCCCGAGACGACCAAAGATGGCCCCGATTTGAGCCACGACGGCCCTCCGACGGCCCAAGATGCTCCCAAGGCGGCCCCATAACCCGCCAAGACCTTCTCAAGAGCCCCTGGAGGCTCAATTTGAAGATCTCCTATAAGTTTCTCACGGATTCTGGAATCTCTCGCGCTCTCGACCGTCTTGACCCCCAAGACGGCCCAAGAGGCCTCCAGGATCGCCCCGAGACGGCCCAAGAGAGCCCCAAGACAGCCCAGGAGGGGCCCACGCAGGGCCCAAGAGGTTCCCAAGATGTCCCAACGAACCCCCAAGAGGCCCCCAAGGAGACCAGAGGCCCCCAAGAGGCCCCCAAGATGGCTCAAATAACCCCCCAGGAGGCCCTTCAAATAACCCTCAAGAGGCCCCCAAGATGGCTCAAATAACCCCCAAGAGGCCCCCAAGACCCCAAGAGGCCCCCAAGACAGGCCAGGCGGGACCCGAGTCTGCCCACGAGGGCGCCAGGACGGCCGAAGATGCTGTCAAGACGGCCCCAGGGGGCCCAAGACGCCCCAAAAGAGCCCCAGGAGGACCCCCAAGAGGGCCTGAAGAGGCGAGACCCATAGATTTCACGTTGGTTGCCGATCGCACACCGCAGATGGCTGGCATCTGCGCGCCAGAGACAGAAGCGTGCGTCGGCAAACTTCGACTCACGAAGCTCCGTGGATTTAATCCGCGGGTCCACATTAGTATGTAGATTTATTTATTTATATATGTATATATACACTTATCTTACTTATCTGTATGTGTATATATAGATATGTGTGTATATATGTTTATATTTAAGTATATATATATATATATATATATATATATGAGTATATATACATATATATATATATATATATATATATATAGTAGGCCGGGGGGGAGGGGGGGGGGGGGGGGCAAACCGGTGCCATCATCCCTTATGGACGCCCCCCCAAACCTTTGGGGGGTCACAGACCCCCCGGGACTGCCCCAGGCCGCTTCCATATTGCCCACGACAGGCCACGCGGGCCATACAGATGGTCAAGAAAACTTCAAGAGGCCCCGAAGACGCCCAAGAGCGCCCCAAGAGGGCCCGAGATGGCTTGAAGATGGTCGACGAAGGCCCCAAGAGGGCCTTCAAGAGTCAACAATCGGCCCAATTTTCTGTAAAACGTACATTTTCAGCATCTTCGCTGGCTTCGTCTTCACAGTACCTCAGACGCCCCCGCGGAGCCCCAACACAGCCCAAGAGAGACCCACGAGGGCCCCAGACGGCCCAAAAGGGTCGGCCTGTAGGGCTCACGGAACCCCCCGAGACGGCCCAAGAGGCCCCAAAGCCGGCCCAGGCGGCCCACAAGACGGCCTCAGGGAGGCCCAAGAGGAGGGCCTCGTTCGAAATCATGTTCCCGGAAGCCTCTCCGGGAACATGATTTCCGGGTCATCAGGACGCCCCAAAGGCCCACAAGACAGCCTCAGCGAGGCCCAAGAGGGCCCGAGATGTCTTCGAGATGGCCGAAGAGGGCCCCGAGAGGGCCTTCAAGAGGCAACAATCGGCCCATTCCCTTCGTAAAACATCCATGCTCAGCATACTCGCTGGCTTCGTCTTCAGAGTGCCCCAGACGCCCCCGAGGAGCTCCAAGACAGCCCAAGAGAGACCCAAGAGGGCCCAAGACGGCCCAACAGGGTCGGCCTGTAGGGCTCACGGAACCCCCCAAGACGGCCCAAGAGGCCCCGAAGCCGGCCCAGGAGGCCTCCACGACGGCCTCAGGGAGACCCAAGAGGAGGGCCTCGTTCGAAATTATGTTCCCGGAAGTCTCTCCGGGAACATGATTTCCGGGTTCCCAGGACGCCCAAGAGGCCCACAAGACAGCCTCAGCGAGGCCCAAGAGGGCCTGAGATGGTTTCAAGATGGCCGAAGAGGAGGCAAAAATCAGCCCGTTCCCTTAGTAAAACATCCATGCTCAGCATACTCGCTGGCTTCGTCTTCGCAGTGCCCCAGACGCCCCCGAGGAGCCCCAAGACAGCCCAAGAGAGACCCAAGAGGGCCCAAGACGGCCAAAAGGGTCGTCCTGTGGGGAAGACGAAACCTCCCAAGACGGCCCCTGCAGGAGGCCCCAAAGCCGGCCCAGGAGGCCCCCAAGACGGCCTCCAGGAAGCCCAAGAGGGCCTCGTTCGAAATCATGTTCCCGGAAGCCTCTCCGGTAGCATGATTTCCGGGTTCCCAGGACGCCCAAACACAGTTCCCAGAGACCCCGGACACGCCGAAGATGGCCTCAGGACGGCCGACGACGCCGCCAAAACGCCACGAAACCGAAAACTGAAAAACAAATCCCTTTGTTTTTGAAGCATTTTTGCGCTCTCCCATGTTCCGCCTCCCCACGGTCCCGGACCGCGTCAGAGGCCCTTCAGATCGCTCCAAGACGGCCGCAGAGGCCCCCAAGAAAGCCCAGAGACGGCCGAGGAGGCTCCCCAGGTAAGTCAAGGGGGCCTCGAGAGCGCCCCTTCAAGAGAGCCCCAGGAGCGACCCAAGAGGGCCCGAAGAGCGCGACATTTCAAGGTTTCCGGCCTGAGAGCCTTTTGGAATGCGGACTGACATGCATGGATTTCGCACAGCCCATAATGCATGCAGCATTACGGACACCTCTTCACTTCCCGTTCAAACCACGTGTGGTCCACCACTTCACTGGGGCAGTGAACTCGTCAAGGCCTGGGGCCTGCTAGAACCTGAGCGCGCGCGAAGCACGCGCGATGGTTCTAGTATATATATATATATATATATATATATATATAATATATATATATATATATAAATAAATAAATAATTATACTAGTATATAGATTTATATATATATATACTAGAACCATCGCGCGCGCTTCGCGCGCGTTCAAATTCTGGCTAGGCTTGATAGGCTAACTCATGTAATATCATGTTGGTCGCTTCTTGCGTCCAGGGACTCCCTTGGAGGCCCTGCGCAAGCCTCGGAATCGTACAGAAGGGGAAGTGCGGAAACGCAGAAATCATTAATTTCTGTTTTAGTTATTTAACGATTTGGGGCCCTCAAAGGCTTCCTGGGTATTTTTGGGGGAGGTGAGGGGGGTCTGCATTGTGGCCTGTTGTGCAAGAGTAGACCCGGGGCCAAACTTGGAAGAATTATCCCGGCAAAGCAACCTAACAGCCATGTGTAGGAGCATATCTGGAAGCATTCCCCTTAAGATTCGGATGAGAATCCAGTTGTAGAATTCTGCTGTTCTCGCAGTCGTAGTCGCATTCGCGATGACAGTCGCAGTGGCAACGGCAGTCGCAGTCACAGCCTCAGCCTCAGCCTGCCTCAGCCTCAGCCTCAGCCTGCCTCAGCCTCAGCCTGCCTCAGCCTCAGCCTCAGCCTGCTTCAGCCTCAGCCTCAGTCTGCCTTCAGCCTCGGCCTCAGCCTCAGCCTGCCTCAGCCTCAGCCTGCATCAGCCTCAGCCTCAGCCTCAGCCTGCCTCAGCATCAGCCTGCCTCAGCCTCAGCCTCAGCCTCAGCCTGCCTCTGCCTCAGCCTCAGCCTGCTTCAGCCTCAGCCTCAGTCTGCCGTCGGCCTCGGCCTCAGCCTCAGCCTGCCTCAGCCTCAGCCTGCATCAGCCTCAGCCTCAGCACGAAGCGACCCAGCTAGAAGGACAAAGCGCTGAATGTACACCGATGTGTTCGACGACTGCGTATGTAATGATGTGACGATATACAGACTGAGCCCTTCGTGAATGTCTACATGTTTTTCTGACGCCTACAAACGGCGCTGACGTGTGTGAGAAAATTGTCCGCGCAGCAAAAGCCGGCGAAGCGTGCGGGAGCTCGCATGCTGAGACAGACTACGTCTGCAGACCGCCAGCTGCAAAAGGTTGCGAGCGGCTCTT